CGCAATGCATCGTGCGAGCCATATTGCCGAGGTTTCTTTGTTTTTTTGTTTTTTTTTTCAAAGGTGCTCCGATGTAGAGAGGCATGTGGCTGTGAGCACCAACAGAATCCACACCTATAACCAGATGTGGTCTGTGATCTTGGAGAGACTGGCTGTGCTTTCACCTGGTTGAGCAGCAAGTTAGCGGAGGGGCACCTTTATCGTGTGGATGAGGCAGTTCGCGATAAACTACCGTTAGTACCGAGCACATTGCCATTGGTGTTCGCTTGCGCATGCGCATGAGGAAGCGTGGTAGTCAGTGTCTATGCTATCGTTCTGCATGCCGCCATTACCGGTGCCATTTCCGCCGTGGCCGTCCGGCTCGGCCCTTCAGGGGAGCTGTGGGACCGGGCTGCCGGCTGGGGGTGTGGCTGACTGTCCCGCCCTGCCGGCTGGGGGTGTGGCTGACTGCCCCGCCCTGCCGCCTAGCGCCTAGAGTCTACAGCTGGCCGGCTCCCGCGGTCGCCCGACCGGTGGACGGCGATGTTGCTCTGCGGAGGTTGCCGCGGTGGCTCGCGGGGCGGCGCCCGCGGCGGGAGGTGACGTTGTCGCGACCCAGGGCGGCGTGCATGTCTTCATATATCATTGTGTGGTTGCTCGAATTCAAAACAAGTAGAAATGTAAACGTTAGGATTGTCGAGAATTAATAAAATGTGATCGAGAAAAAACATGCATCTAAATCTTTGATTGGAAAAAAATGTGTCGAGGGAATGTTGATTATTCAATGCCTCTTTTACTTGTGTAAGACATTTCTCTTCGAAGAAAGGACGTTATAGTGGCAACATGCCGATTATTCAGTGCTCAACAATTTAAGTTAAGCACCGAGGCGTGTTGTCTCGTTGGGCACTTGGTGCCTGGTAAATGAGTAGTAGCATTAATCGCTTGCCCTTTTTCACCTGAACCCGACTTACGAAGGTCATTAGCGAACAGAAAGAGGGGTGCTGTGGTCTAGCGGAAACACAAAACAACGGTTTCAGGAGATTAGTTATTTGAATGACGCATCATGATCACTCCATCAAAGATTATCAGGATTCAGGACCAGGATTCCAGCGGTGTCTTTCAGAGAAAGAATCTAATGCGACAGTGTTTTGGTGGCGGTCTGGAAAGGAAAAGGATCCAGGATTAGCCACAAATGCTTATCCGTCCGGAAGGACGCTTTTGGTGCATATTGAATACGATATATATATATATATATATATGTATATATATATATGTATATATATATATATATATACATATGTATATATATGGGTATATGCATATATATAGGCATATATAAATAGGTGAATATATATACATACATATATATATATATATATTCCTGAGCGGATAGTATATGAGAAAATATGCACCTTTACAAGGTCAACAAAAAACACGGACATCCCTATGTGTTCAGTTTACATGCGATCACTTCAATAGTGAATTTGCTGGGTTTTTTAAAGCACGTTTTGATATCAGATATCGACATCCTTTCAAGCTTTTTTTACATTTGCACACCCTACCAAAAATGAACTTGGAACGCTGCATGAGGGGAGAGGAGCACCAGGGCCGCCTTAAGCGACTCGAACGCTTCTTGAGACTCAGTGCTCCAGTGGAACTCTATATATACATATTTACGTGCTAAGTCCTGCACATACCGCTTAAATGCGTTGTCAGACCCAAAAACTGCAACAAGGACGTGTTGTTCATGGGTACCGGCCACTCCCTCACTTGGATGACCTCCTTCGGATCCGGACCCATTCCCTCAGCTGCCACTACATGACCCATGTACGTTATCTGCGGCTGGAGGAACCGACACTTAGGCACTCTTAGAGCCAGATTCGCTGCTGCCATCCTACTAAAGACTTTCTCCAACCTTGCGAGAAGCTGCTTGAAAGTGACCGTTAAGATCAGGGTGTCATCAAAGTAGCTCACGGCATCACCTACCACCAGAGACCGAATCACCCACCACGACGCTCAAGAGCCTGGCAAATGAGCTCGACATTCGACTTCAACCATATGGACGGGGTACCGATGGCGTAGTGGTTAACGCCTCCTCGCGGTGCCCGCCCTTATTGCCTTGGTCAGAGGCAGGCGGCGCCGCATAGCATCAGCAGCTGAGACGTCGTAAAGCCCGAATGACGAGGAAATAATATGGACAGGATTTGAATTGCCAGGGCTCAAAAGGTAGAGTGATGGCCGTTTTTCACCCGTCCCCTGGCCGGATACGCGTCTGCCTGTACCCACAGATAAGGGCGAGCACCGAGACCAGTAAATCCTCCCCTACTGAGTCGAGCAGCGAATCAATCCTCGGGCCAGGAAACGCAGAAACCTTACACACGCGGTTCAGCCGTCGAAAATCACTGCAAATACGCCTAGTTCCATATCGCTTCTTAACCTGGACGACTGGTGAGGGAGAGCACACAGCCTGCCTCCATGACTATCATCACCGTGGTATCCTGGAAGAGCAACCGCACAGTTCGGCGGCATCGCAAAGGTTTCACGGACCGTGACTCTACACACGCGTGCCACCTGGGGGTCGATGACTGCTGCTGCAGGGGGCACGTAACCAGACGCCAGCTACGTGAAGCGTCCATTTACGGCTTTGCTAGGAAGCGTTGTGGTGAAAAGTGCAGAACGAACGCATAGCGTGCAGGGGAAGCCATGCTCAACGGTCAATGAATCCAATTTCGTCGAACACAAACACAAATAGAGGGTGCGAAACGACATCGACCATAAACCACGCAGTACACCGCCCTAGTAACCACAACGTCTGCTGCGTCGCTGTCCTAGCTGTTACGTTATACGGCTGCAGCTGGGGACGCGAGCCCAGCTGACTATATACCCTATTATGAACAATGAACAGAACAATGAACAAAGAACAGAACAACGCTGATCTCACCTCTCGTAGCAGCGCCCTCTCCCGCGGGGTTTCGCAAAATATGGATGCTCTGTATCTTACCTACTCCACCGTAGTGGTAATGTCTTGCTGCCCGAAAACACCACTCAGACCTGGGTTGGCCAGTCTGACCACAGCACAGACAGGTGCTGTAAGGCACCGTAACTTTACTGCTCAGGGCTCAAGGCATCATGACAGCGCTGCTACTCCGTCGGCATAACACATCCGTAGTGGCGCGGCTAGCACTAACAGCCTGAAGCTGGATTTCTAGCTGATCGATCCGACGCAGTGTCTCCCCGACGCGCCTTGGTGGACCGCCATGTGAAACATTCGCCGCCCACGCACCGGGTTCTCAGTTCTCCTGTGACGGGAAAGGCGATGGCTCCGCTGGTGTACCGCCCACTGCGCGCACTCGGCTCCCCATCCCTTCACCAAGGAAGTGCGGCGGCTGCACCAAATTACCCACCACACACACGTCCGATTTCTGCATGCCTCCGGCCTTGTTGCAATGTCGCGCGCCACTCCACATCCTTATCAAATGTCACGCAGCCATCGGATATCAGGGCACGGACCAACCATTCGACCATGGCTGCCAACAAATAGAACGACCGGGAGCCCGATACTGGGACGCCGAACGCAGCAGCCAGCAAGCCGCGCAGTTTCGCGGTGGAAACGTCGAACGACTGGGAGTGCGGGTCAAATAGTGGAGCATTGAGTGCACAATTCGAGTCCACGGCTGTGGCATCCGGCAGTCCAGTAACCAGGTGACCGAGAATGGTAGCGACGGAGTCGTCCACAGGCCGGTGAAAAGCTTCAAACGCGTCTCGAGCCACTCCATACAGGTGCGGCGAAGGCAGTTCAAGGGCACCTCCTTAGTGAGCGCTTGCACGGCTCAAAAACCGTCCAAGTTCGCACGAAATCGGCGAAATGACCTAGGGTCATTACACCCCGGGACCGCAATGCCATTAATTTTGGCGTTCGGACGCCATTAATTCGGATCATTAATGGCGTTCAGACGCCATTAATTTTGGGCAGACTGGGCTATTTTTGCCTTCCGACCAATGCAATGGCGCCAAGAGGCAGCCACCCCAGTAGCATTTAACATTCATTCAACATACATTTGCACTAATTCTTCATTCAGGCGTAGTTAAGTGCATAGGCCAACATGATGTAAAAAAAACGGAAGGGGCTGGGTGATGACTGCCAGCGACCCACACAATAAAACCCATCGCAAAGACCTCAGTTGTCGTAACCTATAGCTTCGACCGCGGTAAACTTTTCAACTCATAGAAAACACACCTACTGCGGTGACCGTGTCCGAACGCACCTGCCGTCGTTACATCCTACAGTTCAGTTCAACTGTGCGAACGTTTACCTACAATCCTTCGATGCGTCCTGCGCGGTTTGGAGCGGAGAAGCTCCTGAGTTTCCACCCCATGGTTTTGGGTTCGTCCCGGGAACCGGCGGGAAGTGCCATATTGTCGTCACCGGGCATTGCTTGCGCAGCTGATAGTGTAGCAGTGCTCATGATGTCAGAAAATCAGGGTCGCAAGGCTTGTCTTGCTCACATCAAGCACTCCATACAGCATATTACTCATCTCCCCGGCCAATATGTGTCCTGCTTCGCGGGGAACACAAACGTATAGCATGCGTCGTAGGGCAACGCGAATAGCAGTAGAAGATACAAGAGTCCCCACGTGACAATAAATATGTATTTGCTCTTGACTCGGCGAAGAGTGGCGCAGCACACTGGAAACAGACCACGACAGCGGCACATACAGCGCAGCACACAGGGGTGCATTGCTTCAGAAAGCGAACTGCTCGCCCCTCAGACGAGCAATACACACAACTGTATCCCGAACATCGCCGACTATATCATAAAGTGGCACGCCTTGATCATCAGCTGCCTGTCATATTCAGCCAAGATGGTCACATGCAAACAGAGAGCAGCCATCTGGCCGCCACAAAGATAGCAAAGGCCCAAAACCGTGCACGATGTCAAGCGGAAAGCAGGATAATCGCGGCATTTGATAAGAAGTTTCACACCTTCCACACCAGCTAGTGTTGCTGCTGCTGCCCCCTCCCCCCCCCCCCCCCATGAACAGGGAACAGGGAACCGCTGGCTCGGGCAACCACCTTTTACCTTAAACAAAAGGAAGTACAATGCATCTTTCCCAGCAAACCACGGATTGAGAGCCGCACCATACAGACAGATGCTAGTCAATCTAGCACACGCCACTCACCAAACAAAGCGCGTTTTCAACAACGCAAAATCACGTTTCCTCGTGCCTCCGACCAGAGGCACGGGGCCGCATCAGACTGTGCCACCTGGTGACCAGCCATGAAACTAGAGATCTCGAGAAGCGCCGTCGCCAGACGCCAGCGAGCACCAGTCTGGCAACACACCGGCCTCCAGGAACTTCTCCCTGCTCAGTGACCGCGTCAGCACCACGTCCGTTCCACCAAAGATGGCTCCTAGAACAGACCAGCGCAAATCTCTCAACCAGGCAAATCGCGCTATTGGAGCAATGCGCTAAAGAGTGGCAAAAATCCACCGGTCCATCGGAGACAGTGTGTTCCGACCTACCGTCTCACGCAACAGGCCCTGTTTATCGAGAGCTCCGATGTCAATTTCACCCATTCCACACACTTGAAATAATTCAAAAAACTTTGATAAGCGGCTTCCGCCAACGTCATCACATTAACGTCCTGGAAATAACTTGCCGGATCATCATGTGCATTCATAGTGTAGCAAGAAGAGATAGCTTTACTAACTCGGCCTGTTGGTGGAACAGCGCTCCGTTGGGAACCAGCTGAAGGAACACACACATCGCACAATCAATCAAAAAAGGCTACCTCACCATCCACGTCACCAGCCAGGCAAACACACACATGGATGATTGCGAGGCACTTCGCCTATCAGACGCCAGGCCGGGTAAAACGCCGCCCCGGGCCGAGCCCCCGGCGGCGTGGCCGGCACAGGGCCACCACACTGTGACGTACCGCCGAGCCAGGCCAGATAGTTGTCCTTGGCCGGCGGCCGGTGCAGCCGGATAGCGTCCACGCGCATGGCGTCCGAGTAAGGCGGCAGCGCCACCAGGCGGCGCAGCTCGGCCAGCAGGCGGGCCTTGAGTCCGGGCAGCTGGGCCGTGCCGCCCATCACCACCAGGCTGGCGGCCAGCGGGCGGCGCATGTCCAGCGGACACTGCAGCGGACATGACAGACACATTGCTGTCAGGCTGGCGGCCAGCGACCGGCGCATGTCCAGCGGACACTGCGGCGGACACGACAGACACGTCACTGTCAGACTGGCGCCCAGCGGCCAGCGCATGTTCAGCGGACACTGCGGCGGACATGACAGACACGTTACTGTCAGGCTGGCGGCCAGCGACCGGCGCATGTCCAGCGGACACTGCGGCGGACACGACAGACACGTCACTGTCAGACTGGCGCCCAGCGGCCAGCGCATGTTCAGCGGACACTGCGGCGGACATGACAGACACGTTACTGTCAGGCTGGCGGCCAGCGACCGGCGCATGTCCAGCGGACACTGCGGCGGACATGACAGACACGTCAGTCAGGCTGGCGGTGAGCGGCCGGCGCATGTCCAGCGGACACTGCGGCGGACACGACAGACACGTTACTGTCAGGCTGGCGGCGAGCGGCCGCCGCATGTCCAGCGGACAGTGCAGCGGACATGACAGACACGTTACTGTCAGGCTGGCGGCGAGCGGCCGCCGCATGTCCAGCGGACAGTGCAGCGGACATGACAGACACGTTACTGTCAGGCTGGCGGCCAGCGGCCGGCGCATGTTACGTTAACACTGCGACGAACATGACAGACACGTCACTGTCAGACTGGCGTCCAGCGACCAGCGCATGTCCAGCGGACACTGCGGATACGCCAAATGTATTAAGCATATCAGACACCAATGATGACCGCTAGTTCAGGGGTCAAAACAGCGGCAGGGAGCAAACATTCAAACGCAAATCCTGCAGCAAGAGAATTATACGAGTTCAGGCCGAGACGCAGGGGCATAGTCTGAAGCAGGAAGCAATGTCGAATATGCAGATAGGTACGAATGGACACCAGGCGTACATTCCACGATAAACAGTGCGCTCTACGAGTAGTCTGCGGCAGCTGAGCGAGCTGAGCGAGCTGCCGACCCCCGCCCGCATACCGCCCCGGCTCGGCCCGCATCGCGCGCACCTTCAGCAGGGCGTCCAGCACCATGGTAGCCAGGGTGAGGTTGTCGGCGTCGGCGGCGAACAGCGCCTCGGCCGGCTGCTCGCGCGTCACGCCCGGCACGTGCAGCGTCCGGCCGCCGGGCAGCGGGTACTGGACGGACGGCGGCGGCGGCGGCGGCTCCTCCGACGCCAGCCGCGCCGCCCGCTCCGCCGGCGTCACGAACACCGTGCGCATCTGGAGAGCCAGCGGTACAGCGTCAGGCGGGCACACACGAGCGGAGGCCGACCGAGCCGTGACACAGTCTGTCCGCACCAAGCGGCGGAGCGTGTCGACGCCGGGTTAAACTGATAATGTCGGGCTAAAGATGCGGGATCGGGAGATCCCGTAAACGGCGGCGTTCGCGCACCGAGCATTTTAACCACGTGGAGAAGTTCTTGTCAACGGGGTGAATGCGTAGATTGAGGTCAAGCTTAGTGGACGTGAGACACGTGTCTCGTGTTCAGAGACCTTCATGGCCGCTGTATACTCCCCCACCACTCCCGCTGTTGGCACCGCCGGGTTCGCTCCACCCGCTGCTGACCTCACCTTGATGTCCTCTATGACGGCGTCGCTGAGCGTGGCCACCACGTCCTTCACGTCCGGCGGCTCCAGCCCGGGTCCGGTCACGTCACCGTGCTCAGTCAGGCTGGCGCGGATCGCACTGCGACAGAGGACACCCGGTCACGCCTCAGCCCACAGGATCGCGCCTCAGCCCACAGGGTCAGGCCTCAGCCCATAACGTCACGCCTCAGCCCACAGGGTCACGCCTCAGCCCACAGGGTCACGCCTCAGGACACCCAGTCACGCCTCAGCCCACACAGTCACGACTCGGGACACCCGGTCACCCCTCAGCCCACAAGGTCACGCCTCAGCCCACAGGATCACACCTCAGTCCACAAGGTCACGCCTCAGCCCACAGGGTCACACCTCAGCCCACAGGGTCACGCCTCAGCCCATAACGTAACGCCTCAGCCCACAGGGTCACGCCTCAGGACACCCAGTCACGCCTCAGGACACCCGGTCATGCCTCAGCCCACACAGTCACGCCTCGGGACGCCCGGTCACCCCTCAGCCCACAGGGTCACGCCTCAGTCCACAGGGTCACATCTCAGCCCACAGGGTCACGTCTCAGCCCACACGGTCACGCCTCAGCCCACAGGGTCACGCCTCAGCCCACAGGGTCACACCTCGGCCCACAGGGTCACGCCTCAGCCCACAGGGTCACGCCTCAGCCCACAGGGTCATGCCTCGGCCCATAACGTCACGCCTTAGCCCACAGGGTCATGCCTCAGCCCGTAGCGTCACGGCTCAGCCCACGGGTCACCCCTCAGCCAACAGGGTCACGCCTCAGCCCGTAGCGTCACGGCTCAGCCCACGGGTCACGCCTCAGCCCACAGGGTCACACATCAGCCCGTAGTGTAACGCCTCAGGCCACAGCGTGTCCGGTAAGACTGGCGCGGATCGCACTGCCACAGAGGGCGCCGGGCCATGTCTCAGGTCCAAAGGGTCAGCTGTCTGTCGGAGTCGTCTGTTGGAGTTGTCTGTTGGAGTTGTCTGATGGAGTTGTCTGCCTGTTTTCTGTTGGAGTCGGAGGGCTGGCGCTCTAACCAACTGAAATACCGGGACGGGCGGGTGGACTTCGCCTTGCTAAACTCCAAAACCATCGAGAAACGAAATTTTCATTTCCGCCGAGTTGGGGAGGTGAGGTAGATGTAGTTTGGAGTGGTAATACGCCCAAGGCCCAAGCTGCAATTCCAGTGGGCCTCTGGCACCCAAAGCCAGCACGCTCACAACGCTCACAAATAACGCCAACCCCAACTCACAATCCGTAGCGCCGACCCGGACGCCAACGAACCTGACCTCTCCGAAAAAGTCAACATAGAAGATCGTCGACATCCAGCAACATGGGAATTGACGTCTGCAGACACCGAGTAACACACGCGGTGTAAACCACCGGCAATATCGATCCGTCGGCGAAGCAAAGGCGCATTCAGGGATCGGAGAATGGCGGTGTTTATCTCCTTCGAGTAGGCTTTCCTTTCGGTGCCTCTTGGCCGCGCCGAAGCCTTCAGGCGGATCAAGATCGGATCCCTGAAAATGTGCCTCGGTATGCCATACGTTCCTGTCTTGACATACGCCGGCCAAGCGTCGCCCGCACCCAGGTGAACGCGAATGGAGACTCACGCGACCGGTGACGTCGGAAGACCGAACCACAAAATGTGAAAGTACCAGCGGCCTCACAGCGACATGTCGCACAATTCGCCTGCTTGTCGGCTCGTTGGTCTAGGGGTATGATTCTCGCTTCGGGTGCGAGAGGTCCCGGGTTCAAATCCCGGACGAGCCCAACGTATTGCAACCGTTTCATACAACGAGTGCATGTCCAAGTCCCACTGCGACTGTGGTACGTGCACCATCCCGTGATTGACACATGCACGCTTAACTTGATACATGCCACGGCATCGGGGACTTATTTCCAATCAGCGCCGAGAACGGATTTGTGCCTGATGTCATCCCCTGCAATCCTATCACGTGAATGAAAAAATGATGCGGGGAAACGAGGTGCTTCGCAGGACACTACACAATTTTAAAATGAAGGCCAACACTCACTGTTAAAATCAGGGTGTTAGGACGGAGGACTCTAGCTCTTCCAGCATGACTTGAACAGGCTGTTTTATGGTTTATGTTTTATGGTTTTATGTTTTTTTATGTTTTATTTAGTGGTTCATCATCGCAATAACATCCGTTAATGTATCCTGACCACTCAATGTCACCCCTGCAAGGGTCGCTTAAGGTGGAATGATGGAAGCTGCACTTTTCTCCAAGCTCTTCACCTGGAATAACATAAACCAGAGTAGCCTGGACTGGTAAATAGCATTGTTCAAGGTCCAAATCAAGGTGAAGTGACGAGGACCTCCAGTTTGGACCAACTTTTGACACGTAGCCGATACCATGATTAGACGTTACGACTTTCGTTTGATAATTGAAGAGTGACGTTGAGAACTCCGGTGTCGTTGACAGACATATATATATATATATATATATATATATATATATATATATATATATATATATGTCTTCTTCGTTGATCCGGAAAGGTGGTGTGTGCATGAAGCTAACCACGTTGTCTGTTAGGTCCCATGCTAGGGCGGACAAAAAGTTTTTGATGTTTTTATTTTCTCAGAAACTTTGACTTTTCTGATGCACTTCTGGCCCAGGTGCGGCATGAAGCGCCTGTTTTGACTTAACGCGGCGGGGAAGGAACTTTGCGCTATGCAAATGAGAATTATTTGTGCGAAGAAAGCGCCAACTTCCCAAGTTACATCGAATACTGGCGTTCAATGTCGGCAGCTTCCAGAGGTCAGTGAACGCAAGGTTATGTACCACGGCGTATTTTACACACGAAAAAGCTTTTCAAACGTCTGACATTAAGTGGCCTGAGATGCTTCGCTTCGAGTACAATCCATGACTTCAGCAATAACATTCCTAGAATATCAAGTCCCATCTTACGTATATGAAACTATGCGATGTTTGTGTACGTTGAAAATGTAGTTACACAATTCCGACCTGCAAAATGCCGAACCCAAAACTGGGTGCATAACAACGTTGGATGCATGAATAGACGTTCCGTAATCACTCTTGTGCAACAGAAAGGCGACACTTTCGCAATATGGAGTGTTTTTGTTTTCATGGTACGCGCACGTTTGGCAGCATGGGTGTTACCTATCCTTTTGTTCACGCACTAAATGGAGAAACCAAAGTCCCCCGCTGGATATCTTTGAACGGTAGAAAGAAACGAGAAGCCCCGAAATGTTTTCCCCGCACACGGAAAGCGCGAAAATTAACCTCTATTGTGCTAGATGCATCATGGGTATCAATTTGTATTCCTTTGTGAGGGCCCTGCCCCCTTCCAATGTAAGGTTGCCCCCCTCCCCCCCCCCCCAATACTTTAGGCCGAAACATTCTAAAAACGGTAGGAAGTGTTGACCATTACGAACGAAGTAAGCTATTTTATATCCGATAGTGATATTCACGCCACTGATTCTTCCGTCTCGTGGACTCTTTTGATGCAAACGGCGATTGGTCTTCTACCAATGGTGGGTTGCGTTAATACAAACGACACTTGGTCTTCTACCAATGGTAGGCTACGACGCTAACATTGGTTTATTTGAAGCCGAGACCCGAATTGTCCTGCTGCAAGGTCTCATGAGAAAACAGATCTGGAGACGAAATCAGAAGAGGTACGCTACCTTCCCCCGTGCTAGGATCCGTGCCTGCAGGAGCGCTATGCTGCCTAAATCAACGACTCTCTTTAAGCGACACAAAAATCAGAAGATCCAGAAGCAGACCGCTCCTAGTCTTCTCCATAGCTGCCCTGGATTTTTGGACTGGATTTTTCATGTTTTTAAGCGCAAATTGTTGGGCTCAGTATAACTCAATTTCATTGCTGAATACAAGCCAGCCACCTTTCACCTTTCTCGCATGTCTCGATTTCCATCCAATTCGAAGGAGGAAAAAACCAAAGCCCCATCTTACCAATCCGCATCAAAACGTCCAACTGCAACCGGTTTAGCCGAAAACAGCAAAAGAAGCATGCATGAACATTATACCTTGCACACTTAACGGTCTTAGTGTTCTGCTCTGTCCAATCCGTTTGAGTCGGTCAGTTTTTCAGGCCACTTAATTCTTATTCATTCCTTAGCCGATGCAGTCCTCGTTCACCGACTGCGGATGCCTATTCAACTGTATATTTACACAAGGACATGAAGTGCACAGCCATCGATAGCCCATTTGAGTCTGTGACGCCTACGCCGTTAGCACAATACCCCTCCCCCTCCCCTCAAACACACTCACGATATTATACTGCGCCCCTCGGAGCAGCAATTATCCGAAAAGCGAGGTGCTTTGAACTGCGGACGCACGTTTCCTGCTCTGGCTCAGTCCATGCATATCTTCTAACCTTCAAGTAAGTTGATGCCTCTCTTTCCGGTGCATACTGCCTGCATAGGTGCCTTGAAGGGGATTCGGTGGATTTTTTGATAGATGTGCTCTTTGTGTGCCGTCAAGATAAAGGTGAACATGGGTGGAGACCGATATGGCCGATACCACCGGTCTCAAGTTCTTATATGGTGCAATTGCGCCGCGTGTCGGCTCGTTGGTCTAGGGGTATGATTCTCGCTTCGGGTGCGAGAGGTCCCGGGTTCAAATCCCGGACGAGCCCAGCCTATTGCCATCTTTGATGAAAATCAGATATCAAACTCTCATTACGACACCAAAGCCACATTCGCCCCCCCCCCCCCCCCTTACCCTGCATACTGCAGCTCACTCAGGCGACACGTGATGTGACCAGTCCTGCTACTCGGTGCCCGATCAGCACTTGTCATCCCATCGCAGCCTTGCATGCATGCGAGACAACAGCAACACGTCGGGCGCTTCTGACTGGCAAGTACGCAACTTTCTTTTGAAAATGGGCATGGGTGCGTCACGTTTTGTTGAACTCCCGCTGCTTGAAAAATGCGCATGGGTGGGTGGGGCATGGGCGCATGGGTGCGCCACTTTGCTCTCCATTTAGGGATATATGCGAACTCGACGCCTGTTCATGCCAAGGTTAACATAGTCGCAACCGACTGCGCTGCAGACCGGCCAGGTCAAATCTAGTAAGAACGGTGTCAAGGGCACATGGGGCGAGGCCGACGCCACTGCCTCCGCAGCAAAATGAAGGGAAGGAGGCATATCTGGAAGTCGAGCTAAGACCCCTCCCTGCAACTTCGTGGCTCGTTGGTCTAGGGGTGTGATTCCCGCTTGGGGTCCGGGAACAGGGCACGAGAACAGGGTGCGAGAACAGGGTCCAGGTTTCGAGTCTCGGGCGCGCACCATGCACCATGGGCGCCAGAAAGTAGCTACACTCCGACATGCGGGCAGAGTGTCGGTCACCTCCATACACAAATGAGTCGCTGACTGGCATGCCCATGATGTAACTCTCGGCCACGGTTACAGCGATACCAAATTCAAATCACAGGCGGACCAGTCTATTCTTGGTGGGGGGCGATGAAACTCGCTACCACGACCACCATGCGCCGATCTTTTCACGGAGGCGGAACTGCTCGGCTTCAGGCCGACAAGCCACGCCTGCTCCCTGTAATCGTAACGCGCCGCGTCCCGACCGACCGACCGCCACACCCATGCCACCGGCGAACGCGCCAGCTCGCAAGGGCTCGCATCTCGAGCGCGTCGGCTCACGTCCCGAGAGCGTGGTCTCGCGTCTTGAGCGCGTGGTCTCGCGTCTCGAGCGCGTCGGCTCGCGTCTCGAGCGCGTCGGCTCGCGTCTCGATCACGTGGTCTCGCGTCCTGAGCGCGTCGGCTCGCGTATCTAGCACGTGGTCTCGCGTCTCGAGTGCGAGGTCTCGCGTCTCGAACGCGTCGGCTCGCGTCTCGAACGCGCGGTCTCGCGTCTCGAGCGCGCCGGTTTGCGTCTCGAGCGCGTGGTCTCGCGTCTTGAGCGCGCCGGCTCGCGTATCTAGCACGTGGTCTCGCGTCTCGAACGCGTGGTCCCACGTCTCGAGCGTGTTGGCTCGCGTCTCGATTGCCTCGGGTATTAAATGCATATTTCCATACTTGAGTCATAGCTGTCATGATCGTAATTCTGAATTATTCATACGACTTCAGTTCGACTTTTCATTGTTGAAATGCTTGGAATTGAGATCCATGCCTGTAGCAGGTTTGAATCCCCAACTATATTAGAACCAGAACAAAGTTAAGCTGGTGGATTTTCAATGCTTGTGAAATATGTATCATATTTAAGTCTTGCTTACATGAGGTAAGTAAAGACGTTTGCCTGGAAACCATAAGTACAATAAACTTAGTTGATAAAACTATTTGAGGCAGCTGTTGATCAACAAACCATAAGTAAAACAAGACAAAGTCGATTCCGCCAAGAAACGCTAGACATTCAAGCAAAAAGTTCCTTTTTCTCAGCTTCGTACATGCAGGCGAATACAAAAAGCTCCACCTCCAGCCTGGTTGAGAAAAAGCACTTTTAACCCTAAACCCCCAAAACAGAATTGTCACTGTGCGGCGTCCTCCGGCACCGGGCGCGCGATTACCTATGGACGGCCTGGGCGCCGAGCGGCAGCGCCTGCCATGAGCGCAGCACCGGCACGCCGCAGTAGACGGGGATGCAGACGGCCTCGCGGTGGCCGATGTCCAGCACCAGGCCCGTCTGGAGACCCAGCGGCAGCAGCGCCATCAGGTGCGACGGCGCCAGCAGCACGGACGACACCTGCCGGACGGCCGGGGAAACACTCAGAAACGGCCGGGAGAACACTTTGGGGCGGCGGGGTTAGCATTCAGGAGCAGCGGGTCAACACACAACCAGGGCGAATGTCCGCGTTCGGGACTGGAGAAGTCACGCCAGTTAGTACGAAGTAACCTTTCTGAGCCTTGCCGGAGGGGGGGGGCGAGCTGGAGGGGGGGGGGGGGGCGAAGAGGCCGGCTTGCACCACTTCGGGAAGAGGGCGTATCCCCGGTGGCGTTCCTCTGTCCGCAGTCAAGGCACTCCCGATGCGCTGACGAATACGCGAGCCGGCGCGGCTCGGCGCCGAATCTGGGCTGAATCAAAACCTCAGTACGGCGCTCCCATACGAGATGCCCGATTTTCGGAAGGTGACGAACTGGCTTCGTTTGGCTTGGACCAGGGTCCTTTTGGCCCGCAATGGTCATTTCAGGGCTCTAGAATTAACAAGAGAGGCAGTTGGTGGGGTAATACTACGGACGTCTGGGAGACCGCAAAACCGAAGCTTATCCGGCACAGGAACCCTTCTTTGAGGTTTGTGCGGGCGCCAGGGCTGGACGCCAGTCAGGGTGGCACTTAAGCCGCTGCGGGCTGGCGGCCGTAGCTCGCCCCGGTGGGACGGGACACTGCGAGAATTAAGGATGGAACGGTGGGTGAGGGAAGAGCGGATGCAGTTGGGAAAACAGATGTCCGTTATGCATAAAGGTACACACCCAGGTCCCAACGCAGTTTGTCATAAACGCTCCAGAGCTCTCACAGCGCGACTCATTGAATCGCACAGCACCACGCGATCACCCTCCGTGAACGGACTGAGGTCAGAATAAACGCCGCGATCGCTCACGCTCCATACCTCCACTGAAAGCACAAGCAACTCATCGGGCATCGTCCTGTAGCACCACACCAGCCGCGTACTGCAACACGCGTGGGCGGAGTGTGTCCTGCGTCTCCCGCATCTGCTCACCTCATAGTGGCGGAACAGCACGTTGGCCAGCACGTTGCGAAAGAGCGAAGGCGTCAGCAACGACTCCACCACCACCACCGGCCGGTCCTTCGGGTTCACCAGCAGCCGCCTGGCGCGGTGGACGACAAGGCTACCTTCAGCTCCCACCCACTCAGCTTAGCACAGCAGCAAAAGGTTCGTCACCCACTAGGTCACAACATAGCTCTACTTCATGTCGCCCCGGGGCTGGCTGTCGGATCATCAGCTGGCTTTCCCCCATTTGTCCAATGTGTGAAGACGGCAATAAACGGAAGATGAATTTTACGGCTCAAAGGACGACGCGACAATGACAGCCTCCACATACAGTTGGCAGCTGGCAGGTTTTTCTTGGTTTTTAAACGCGACTGTTTCTTTAACCTTGTCTAACCATCTTCATTCGTGGTCAAAAGCACAGCTGTAAGCGTCTAATATTGACAAAACAGCCAATGTTTGCCTGATGACGCCGTTTAACTAGTACCACCTAGTATAATGAGGGTTGACTATTGTCAGCATAAAAACTCTGAAACAATCATAGCAGTTGCAAGCATATTCATATTTCTACACATTTGCAATCACTCAGTAAGAAACCCGAAGGCCCTTCAACGCGATAAAAGCATGTGTGACACCACAGGGAGAACACTTCCTTTCAAGTCAGAATCATCGAAATGCTGCCATCTGTCCACATGACAGAGCCCAATCTGAGCCCCTGACACACAGTCTGAGCCCATGACACACAGTCTGAGCCCATGACACACAGCCTGACCCCAATCTGAGCCCCTGACACAAAGTCTAGGCTCCTGACACACAGCCTGACACCCTGACACACAGTCTGAGCCCCTGACACACAGGCTGAGCCCCTGACACACATTATGAGTCTCTGACACACAGTCTGAGCCCCTGACACACAGTCTGAGCCCCTGGCACATGGTCTGACCCCCTGAGAACCAGTCTGAGTCCCTGACACATAGTCTGAGCCCCTAACACACAGTCTGACCCCCTGACCCACACCCTGGGCCTCTGCGCCGGCACGCAGGGACACCTAGCCAGCGCGCGCGACACGACCGCCTCAACAGAGCCACACCTGAAGTAGACCTTCTGCATCAGCTCGACCAGCAGCCGGTAGAGGTCGTCGCCGCCGCGGTAGTCGAAGACGGAGCGCTCATGGCCATCCACCGTCACGCGCGACGGGATGATGGCGCGCGGGCCCGTCTCGTCGCCGAAGCCGCACCTGCGGCCGGGCGGCCGTGTCACGAGGCGACACCAGCGCGGGTCAGACGGCCGGCACCGGCTCAGGTCATGGGGAGGTGACGCGGCTGGATGGCAGTGACGGCCCTCAGCGACCGGCCCATCTCACATGGGGTGGTGTCAGTGGTCTGCAATAGGTAAGCCATCACGAAGCCACACCTTCATCGGCGACATTGCCCATGGGAAGAGGAGGCAAACTTCAAGGTCTCCACCTTGATCTGCAGTGTGTAAGCCTCCACTTTCTGTCTATATGCAGATTCATTTAATTATGCATTGGTCATGAATGGTTGCTGCTTGTCATTAAATCAGTTACAGCATGCTCTATGTATCCACATCCAAGAACCATTCAAAAAATTTAATTTTGGGTCAACTATTGCTCTCCTGCACAAGCACTGTTGGTGAACCTCTTTGTGGGAGTCTTTTTTAATGTGACATTTCAAACTTACTTTGTGTAGGCAGTTCCAATATCCAGCACAACAGGATGCAGGTCCTTTTCACCAATGAGCCCAATGCCTTCATAAAGAGGCATGATAACTGATCTGAAAAGGGGAAAATATAGCATGCAGACAAGTGGCCAAGCATAACCCAACAATCACTCTTGTGTGACATAAATATCTGTCCTTTGTCCTTACAGCATTTGCCAAATATTTTCAAGTTTTATTTTTCTGTAATGAGCACATAAATTGGACTTCAAAAACAGTTCAGTCCAATCCCAACAAAGCTCACACAAACAAAATATTGTAAGTTTTGTGCTACGTGGCTGTGACAAAATGCACCGAACACTATCCCACCTGAAAGCATCACTGCTGTGCATGCTCCTCCCATAAACCCAATATGCACACAAAAGCCCTTTGTATTTAAACAATGAGTTTTGGTGTCTGAATACATGGCAAGTGCAACAGGCTCTTGAACTGAGCAGCAGATTACATGTCTATGTTGACCTCTACCACCATGTTCTGTTGTTTAAGCAAAATCTTCCTAACTGACTCAGCCTATCACATTTTTTTCAACACTGACTAATAAGTTCTAACTCATGCCTAACCCATCTAACCCAATCTGAGATGCATTTGCTTATGGGTATATCTAAAATAGAGTGCATCAATTCATTTTGCCTTTTGTAATTGGGGTTCAATTATTGATTTTGGAGGAGCACAACAAAACTGGCTTAGTACAAATTGCCTTCAACTAACATGGTTAACAAAACAGTCTCCATGATACCATAATGCACTCCATGCCACAATCCTAACCTTCACCACTTACATTCAGGCACACTAAAGACAAACTGTTAATTTTATGATCCTTTCACATAACTATGTTACATATGCAAATATTTATGAAACATTTATAGGGGCCACACATGTTGGATCCTGATAATGTGGTCTACAATAAAGAAGAGCCACAATATATGTGCAATCATTATGTCCATAAAACCCTTGAATTGAAACCATTCAGATGACATGAAAACATTTACAGCCTTAAGGTAATATACCAACCTAAATTATCTACCTGTCTCTATAACAAATATAACACTTCTTACCAGTTCTGTTTAGATTAAATAAAACCTAAGAGCCAGATTAAAATCACTTAGGATGTGGATGGGCCAGGCATGACTGAAAGACTAGTTTTAAAACAACAAAAAATCTAGATCATTTAATTCATCTTACCTACATTAGTTTGATCACCACCAATGACCTAACACAGCATGAGGTCATCAATGTACAAAGGCCTTGAAAGCAGTATTTGACAGGTCAAAATAACTAGTTTGTCAACTTTCATGCCCCATAAATGTTGTAATATTGTGCATCTAAAACACCATTGCAAAAGCTACATGGAGCATAATTTGCTGCCGTTTTGAGTTTCGATCCATCCTACTTAAGTGACATTAAAACATGTATTAGGTTTGTTTCCTACCGATCCCATCTTTACGCTCTATCGACCTTTACCTGAATGGAAAAACAGGCGACCGTGCTTTTCCTGGTAAGCTATGGAAAACCACAGGTACCAAACTAGGCCATGCAAGTGGTCGACAGCACCATCTCAATATGAAGGGGTGCAATCAACCAGGGGCGCAGTCACGATTATTCTAGGGCGTAGCCGCACCATGCTAGAACACGGGCATGAAGGCAGACCAAACATATCCGCCGATTTTGAATCATTCACACTGTTAATGTCTTATTTGGTAGCTACCATATCCCCGTCAGTGGTATCAAAGAAAAGTATTTTGTAGCAGAAAATATAAATGCCTGGCACACACGATACACGCATGCAAATCTAGCGTTCATTTACATCAGTTATCAGTATACAGATGCAGGGGTGAAGGAAAAGAATGGGGAGGCATGTCGCCATGCCCCCACTTCTTAAAAATGTTTAATATTAGCCTTATAGCGATGCGTGATGAGGAAATTATTTCAAAAGCGTATTGGCTCCTCCTGTCTCTGGGACGTTATTACGCCTTTCTATAGGCATATATTCTAGATCCTCACGCAATGGCTGAAAATTGGTAGGCTGATGGAGTCTGACCTGGTCATCCCCTAATCCTCCAAAACTGAGAGGGATATCATAAAGATTTGGTGATGTCATGGGGCAGATTTCTATGGAGCCAGATTTATATTCATACGTAATTGATGTTCTGGACCTTAATGATCTAGTTAAAAATTAGCATGTTAAAAGCACAACACCTTAAGGGCGTACCATCGAGCAGTTGGCACGACCTGAGCGTTGCGTGGATAACGGTCACGCTAGTGCCACCAGTCCTGGAGACCCCAGCGGTTCAGATGGGGCCGGGTTTTGCCGCGCATGTGTTCATGGTTGAAAAGGAACCTGCATATGGAAAAACGTAGCATATAAAATGAATGGTAGCCTCTGCCCAGGGATATGCTATGAAGAAAAAACAAAACATTGCATCGGTGGCCGGTATAACGAACACTTTGGACACGTTTACGGAGTGACCAGGTTCTCTCACGTTTATGGAGAACGCACAGATACACCACTAGGGAACACGTGGTGGACGGCATGCAGCGATGAAGTGTATAGGTGCACCACTAGAGGACCACGTGGTTGTTCACCAAGTGTCTGGTGATATTGTTTCCTGGGTCTCTCATATGTATGCAGGTGGCTTGTCTCGAGTTTTCAGTTTCGTACCACACATCGCTACGGTGTGAATACCTCCGACATGCAGTGAAGACTGCTTAAAGTCCAGCCTTTTTAAAATTGTATAAAGAAGGAATGAAATAAGAGACTAGGGCGCCGCCGCTAGAATGTGTGCACAGCAACGGAGTAACGAATAACGGAATTACCTTTCTGAAATAATTGAATAACGAGTAATGGAAGTACTTTGTTGTTGCCAGTGCTCTCCTACGCATCCATTATGTGGTAAGCGCAAGGTTTCGGAGCCTCCCCAAGCTGAATCCAGAACGCCCAATTTTTGGAGAGGCCAATAGTATTAAGAAAAAGTAAGACAAATGGTGAACGCTCAAGGTGCCTGCGCCAAACCATATAAACTGGGAGACGGTTCCATTGCAACATATTTCTTCTCTATGCGTTTTAAGGGTGATAAAAGCATGCTCCGAATTTAATTCCAGCCAACTCTGAAATTGGCTAAGTGAGAGGAAGACGCCATTCAGGGGATAGGTGCATTGCATCTTAAAAACAAAATTGTGCGTTCCCGAATCAGCCTCTTATGAAGGCCCTGGTGGGCCTGTCTTGTACGCTCAGTTTATGTCATATGGACGGGCGGGAATGGAAAATATTTGGGTCAAGCATGATAACCTCCACTTGTCATTTTTCTGAAGTCCAAGACTCAAGCTCATGAGCGCATTTGTAATAGCTCAAATGTTGTTTGGGCGTCGAGGTTTAGACACGTCATTATAAATGCCACGACCATTGGCGTCGTGACGCCATATAAAAAAGTTACAGAACTCGTTCCCTTTGCCAAATCCAGGTGTTACACCCAGCTCTTTTAATATGGGCGGAGAGGGTGACAGCTTGAATTCAAATGACCAAATTAGATTGCACGGACGGCGTGACGTCATTGGGGATTTGGCATGCTCTGGTGCATACGAATGGTACGAATGCACCAACAGCATATACCGCACGCTGCATGGCGAGCGACCAGCCACAGGCAGCAAAAGCGACTCGCCGTCTATCGGCCGTTGGCAAAACAGCGACGTTGTTTTAGATCTAATGTATAGAGAAATGGGCGTACAACAGTTTGAGATCTCACTCAAATACATCGGGCCAACAGTTTGCGATATTAAGCCCTTGCGCATTGTTGGACGATCCGTCCGTCGCCAATTCCTCCCCTGTCATGGCGACCTCGTGGCCGTTGCAAGCAAAATGCCGCTGTCATAACCTTTGAACCGCACCTCATCTCGCTTTAAACAAGTCATGTCCTTGCTCTGATCCCAACAAATTTCCTTGTCCTAATCGCCACGACATAAAAGCATTCGAAGTGCAATGCTCGAATTCATGAATGTTTATGAAGGGATGGGACAATCAACACTATCTCTTCCGCGGTTCAGGTTTAGCAAAGGTCTATGTAGGCATGTGTGTGTGTCGACTCGGTTAACCGACTATTCCCTCGTTTTGATGGAACCAAATTCAAAAACGTACCATTCAACTCAAATTGGCTGCTTGCTAGGCACAGCGGAAAATGTGGCATCGGTGTCCTGTGCATCTTATCATCCAGAAGTTAGCAAAAATCAAAATCGGCATCCTGCAACTGACGATATGCTTGAATGGCAGCTTCTTCCGTCCTTATAGCAACAGGATACACCTACTCATACCGAAAGACGTTCAATGATCGAACCGGGAAAGTTTGAGAGGCAACGACGGAGAAATACCGTTTTGCGGTGAGGAATCACTAAGATTAGGTTAAATTCGACACCAGCCTATTCGGCCGGCGCCGCCCCAGTCAAACCGGATTCTACGAGCATCCCGACGAGCAAGTACGGGACAGCAATGAGCTGTACTTCAAAAAAGGCGATAAAATAAATTTAAGTAATCTGAGGACAGGATGCATTCGGAGGCAAGGCAAGTTCGGTCGGGTTCGGGCGTCCGACAGCTATTTTTGGGGTTGTTGCTTTTTGGTCAACGCCAATAGGGTCGAAAAGTAGGGCAATGAAATCCTGAGTGATACTCGTTTTAATAAAGGCATGTAGTTAAAATATCAATCTATCTATGTCTGCGTGTTTCTAGATATTCTACAACAAATAAGGTTATAAGTATTGTTTTATCTGTCTGCGTAATGCTCCTCGTACATGCACTTAACAACTAATAGGGTCAATGGTAAGCCGTTAGAACTTTGGGGGCTCAGCCACCTGGATTCCCTAGCTGCCGTAGCCCTGTTTCCAACGATGTCAATGCAGCTCATGCTGGCCTCTGGGTCCTAAAATGCATGACCTTTCATGCGTGGTACATACCGGCTAATTTGGCTTCCAGCCGGTTTCTTTACTTCCCAATGCACATTAACAAAACAACTTTTCGTTACATCTCCCTGTCCGTAGTGTCTTTACAATGGACATGGGTCACGGAGAAACGCATGTGGCTCGCATTTCGCAAGGCTCAAGGGCCTAAGCGCACGACTATGCGTCTCAGCCTGCTAATTACCGAACACCCATGGTAAGGATGAAATTGGATGCACTGCTTCATTGCTGGCGTAGACTGGCTTCCATTTGAATGTTGCTCTTCAGAAAAATACGAGTTTGGCTAGGAGCGTTTTGCCAGACAATAGTTGTCTATTTATTTCGGTACCTTTTCCATGTCCTTTCAGCGAGATATGTCCAGAAGCACTAGAACATTTTCAAATAAAATGCAAACTAATCAACCTACAACTAGCATCGGTCAGTTTACTTCTTGTCGCAGATGGTGGCGTAGTCACCCTGGCAGAGGGCGTAGTTGATGACGTGGTGGATGACGTTCTCCTCCAGGCTGCCGCGCAGCAGGTGGGCGCCAGGGCCGCGCGCGAAGATGCCGACATCCTCACCGCCGTGGGTCTCCTTCGGCAGGTAGATGCCGGCCACCTGCTTGTAGTGCGGGTCGCGCCACTCGGCCTCCGGCGACATGTCAGCGAGGCGAGCCCGCTTGGCCTCGAACTCGTACCAGTCCTCGGAGCCGCCCGGACCGTTAGCGTACTGCATAATCGGGTAAGGCAGCTTGGGCGGCGGGCCACCCTTCTGCATGCCGCCGGCCAGGAACGAGGCAGGGCCGAACATGTCCAGGCCGCGCTCCGGGTAGCCGTTGATGGAGAAGGTGTGGGAGTGATCGGAGGAGACGACGATCAGAGTATCCGTCTCGTCGGTGTTGTCCATGACGTGCTGGACGACCTCCTCCAACTCCACGGTCTCGTCGATGGCCGTGTAGGCGTTGCCGTAGTGGTGGCCGTGATCGATCTTGGCGCCCTCGACGAACATGACGAAACCATTGGGTCCACGCTTCAGGATCTCCAGGGCCTTCTTCACCATCTCGGTCAAGTTGACATCGTCGGCGGTCTGGAAGGCGCGGTACTGCATGTGGCTACGGCTGAACAGACCCAGCACGTAGTCGGCAGAGGAGGCGTCGAAGCTGTTCAGCTCGGCCTTGGTGCTGATGTAGGCGTGGCTGCGTCCCAGGGACTCCTGCTTGTCCTTCCACTCCTGGATCAGGTCGCGGCCATCCAGGCGGGAGCCGCCCTCGACATCCTTGGGCGTGAACTTGCCCCAGCCGCCGCCGAAGGCAACGTTGATGTCGATGCCCTCACGCTCGACGAACTGGGTGGACAGGTCCTTCATGACGTTCTTGCACGAGTCCTTGACGGGACCGGTCATCCACTCCATGGCAGCGAAGTCGGCGTCCGACTCCCAGGTGCGGTAGGCGGTGTGGCCGAAGGTGGCGGCGGGAGAGGCGTGCGTGATACGGGCGGTGGACACCAGGCCGACCCACTTACCGGCCTCCACTCCGTAGCGGAGGATCGACTTGGGCGAGGACGCCTCGTTGACGGCGTCGCAGTTCCAGATGAGCACGGAGCAGTCGACGCCGACCGTGAGGAAGTTGCCCTTGGCGCCGGTCAGGTAGGCGGTGGCGGTGGAAGCCGAGTCGGCCGTCCAGCGGTCGCAGTTGTAGGTCTTGGACAGGCCCAGGTAGGGGAAGGTCTCCCAGGAGAGCATGGTGTGCTCGGGCACGTCGGCGCCGTGCTGCAGACCCTTGCGCTTCCTGGCGGCGGCCAGCGTGGGGATCGACATGCCGTCGCCGATGAAGAGCACGGCATTCTTGGCCTGGTAGTCGTACACGGGGTCGGCCAGCTTGGTGCGCAGGATGTCCTGGGCGATGTCCTTCCAGAAGGCCTGGTCCAGCACCTGCCCGGAGCGGGAAAGGGTGGTGGCGCGGCCCGCCCCGAGGCCAGCCTTCTCCTGCACCTCCTGGTAGGTGGGCGCCCACATCTCGTGCATCTCCAGCTCGTCCTGGTCCTCCACGCGGGAGTCGAGCGGCACGGCCGAGGCCAGCGCCACCAGACAGGCAGCCACAAACAGCTTCATAGTTCTGGGCGGGATCGCCTGTCGCTGGCCCACCGGGTGTGGTTGGGATGCGGTCTGGCTGACCAGCGGCCGGCTTTATACCCCCCGGCAAACTAGGCGGTCACACTTGGCCACAGCATGTGGTCGACCACATTCGCAATTAACACGTTGTTACCATCTGCTCGAGCTTGGACGCAATTGACAAAAGTGTGCACACTTGTTGGTTGTTAACTTGTGGCCCGGGACCACCGCGCAGTTTTCTAACACGGTTAGGTCCATTTCCTATACAGAAGTGTTGTTTCCTACACAGAATGTCATGACCAGAAAAGCCAGGCCAAATTCCTGTTTCCTACACAGAATATCATAATATCATGCAGAGGCAAATAGATATTTATATAGATAGACATTTCCCGCAGGCAGGAATTGGTCACTACAAATGTTTTTTGGTAAAGCTGGTCTTCATGCCTACGGGGCCGGCGCTGTTTAAAATACCTGGTCTAATAGGGCCGTCTCAGCACACAGGGTTGCCTGTAGTGACAACGTCAGTGACTTTTCTACGTTGTTTATTCATAGCGTAACCAACGTTGATCGTGGGCAGTCAGCTCGCAAATTCGGTGGCAAGAAACTGAGCTTTTGTCTGTGCGGAGGCCGGCCTGGCTTTTCCCTGCGCGGAGGCTTGGCCTGGCGCTCCCAGGATCCATCGACCCTCGGCCATGTACCACAGATATTGCACAGGCATCTGAAGACAAACATTGCTGCTCAGTGGTGTCGCAGCCTTGCCGAAAGAGTGGCTTCGTGATGTAAGCAGCTTAGTTGGTTTTATCATTTCCATTTTGTAACAAATTTTGGGCCAATGAAAGCGAAGCCTTCCAGTTATACTTTCCTGAACAACCAAAAAATTATGACACCAAAAGCATCAATTCAATCCCAATGCATCCTAAACAAATGAAGCATCGCAATGCTAGTGCTAGCTAACGTGGGCAGAAGTAATTATACCCATTGATTGAAACACTGCCGTATAGAAAATATTAGCAGTGCGTGCTCGCCTGTCCTCTGGCGAGGAGGGCAAAGGTTAGGTCAGGTCCGGTTGGGTCAGGCGGAAAAAAACATTGCCGAGTTTTCACGGCGTACACATATAGTACTTGCCAAAGCTGAATACAATGAATTAATGGAAGGGCATGGCTCATATGTCTACGTATTCAACGAAGCACGATTTTACGTGTGATCCTGTCCACTTACAGAAAACTGTCAGGCATTGTTATGAAGTTCGTTAAGGTGTGATTACATGCACGGATAGAGAATTTCCAGAAAAAATGTGAAGCGGGTGTGTCAGCACAAAAGTCAAATGAAAAATATAATGAATTATGTGGAACGAAAAAAGTATAATGGCAAAAGTTGACAGGGATGAAAGGCGACTGGGATCCAAGTCGACAGGGATGAAAGGCCACTGGGATCCAAGTCGACAGGGATGAAGGCGGCTGGGATCAAAGTCGACAGGGATGAAAGGCGACTGGGATCAAAGTCTAATCGGAAAAAACCCGAGGACAAAAGCTCGTCAGTGATAAAAGTCGGTCGGGACAAAAGGCGAATCGGAAAAATCGAACGAGAACAAGACAAAAGTCGTTAGGGATAGAACTAAACTTGAAAAGCTTAACCGAAAAGTGTTAGAACTAGAAGTGAGCAGGACTAAGTTATAATGGAAAAGTCAAAGGACAAAAAGGCCGAAGAGACAAAAGCCCGCGGGAAGTCTACATGGCACTACTGCACGCTTGTGATGGCCCGCACGTTGCCCTAAGCACAGCTGAAAACGTCGAGTACTAACAATCTAATTAACGTTTGCTCCATAACGTCGCAAACTGTATCTCCTGGTATATTAGAGGCCGTGACTAGGCACAAAAACTTTGAACTCATAAATCCAAACACAGGAGTGTGGTGTACTATGCAGTTGGGGCGGGGGCATGGGGTGGGGCCAGCCCTTCCCAACATTGGGGGGAAAGCAAGTCGAATCCAGTGAAGACCCATGTATTGGCGCTTTGTCGGTAAAATGTGCTATGTTCCTCGCTCTGCACTCCGTTCCCCAACTAATTTCCCGAAACTGCGCCCCCGGCCCAATAACTAGACGTTTGAGGCCTTCGTCGCTGATATCAATCAACATGTGTCTGAAAGGGGTCCACGAAATGCGAGCGTTTTTAGGATTGCGTAATGCACACTCAGGTTCACTGACGACACAGTCGCAGAACAAATACCGTCCGCTGTCTTGCGGCCGGCCTGCGTATCGCACGCCCTCCGTAAAGCCCCCTCCTCCGCATCCGCTCTCCGTAACGTAAGACGACGGGGATACTGGAGCCGCGCCCCGTGGCGCAGTCGAGGAGATCCAGGTAATTATGCGAAACAGTTAAGACCTTTATTTTGGCACCATACTTAGGCGTTTAGGTAGCAGCTTTTCCCGAAGGCTACCAAAAATTTGTCTAGTACTGTCTTGCCCCGTCCGATAACATCATGCTCCGTTCAATTCCGTCTGATCTCGTCCGGCTCCGTCCGGCTCCGTCCGGTTCCGTCCGGTTCCGTCCGGTCGGTTTTGTCTAGTTCCCTCCGGTTTGTCGGGTGCCGTTCGATGCTGTCTGGTCGCATCCGGTCACACGTGGCCCTGTGGTGCCGACCGGTTCGGTTCGGTCTCGTCCCATTTGGTCCCTCCATCTGATCTCGTCTGGTTCCACCCAGTCCCAACCCAGTCTTACCTCGTCTGTTCTTGCCTGGTCCCTTCTGGTGTGATTTGTTCAGTTTCATCTGTACTTCCCCGTGGTCATAGATTTAGCTACCTCTCATACCAGGCGCCAAACCATGGTGACTTTTCTGTTGAATTCATTATTTTTCCTTTCATTTCATTGATTCATTCTTTTCATACTTTTCTGTTTTAATTTATTAATTAATTAATTCATTCATTCATTGTTTTTACAGATCCGATTTTAACCTTTTGCTGTCGGTGTCGGTGTTCTGCCCTGCGACTTATTCCGTGTCTTCTCACCTGTATGTCGAACTTTTGTTTATTCACTTTTCTTGCATCCGATTTTTATCCCTGTCGACTCACATTCCTTTCGACTTTTTGTCATCCGGCGTTTCCGACTCAACTTGTATTGCTGTTGACTTTTATCCATTCGACTTTTTCCCATCTCAACTCTTTCTAATTCGACATTTATTCATGTCGGCTTTTTTGTTTGGCTTTTTTCCATTCGGCTTTTTGTCCGGGAACCTCGTGAAGCTGCTAGAATGAGTATCTCACCAAGACAAAATGTGAACGTTCCATTGATTTCAGCGGGTTTGGTGTAATCAATGCCTTTCCTGTGATGTAACACCCACCCCGTCTGCCTACAGGAGCGTGTATTTCAAATGCATGCATCAAACCAAAACTACCAAACTCCACTACCCATTATGAAATGCACGACCCTTTCGACAAGCAAGCGCGTCATGAAACGTTGCATCAGTCTCCAGAAATTTCACGGCTTGTGATCGTTTATGAGCCGAAACAGCAGTAATTGTAAAAGGAACTGCAACACGCGCTATTCGCATTATGCGCAGCGTCCCTCGCAGCTAGAGGCAAGCAACGTAATTCCTTACGGAGGGTGGTGGGCGTGCATCTACTGTAGACTTGTTCGTCGTCGGGCTTAAGAGTCCTCGGAATGCATGACATCTTAGTTTTGTCTGCAGCTGCTATGTCATTCTGTTAAGCAGGTACCAAGGACCCAATTTTGCACAGAAATTATTCCAATGAACACTGACGATAGCGAAGATTTTTAAGTCAAAAGCGACTTGTCACTTCCCTGAGCCATATTTGGTCCAATCTGTTCGGAACGCGATGTTGAAACACATGCGTGTGGTCCTAGTGACAATACCACATCTCAGATATGTATGACGCCAGAGTGCATCCGAGTCCCTGATCGGGTCGTGCGGGCCCCTCCTCGATCAGGACACAAGCTTCTCTCTGCCCTGACAGGGGCCTGCTCCCTGCCCCGAAAGAGTAATTCTTTTAGTCCAAAGACTGGGAGTGGAAGGACTCCAAGGACTACGGACTGTTGCCTTGTCGGAGCATGGCCACATTTGTCTTGACGATGGCTTCCTGTCGTACCACCGACCTAATCCATACAATATATATATATATATATATATATATATATATATATATATATATATATATATATATATACATAAACATATTTATATATATATATAAACATATTTATATACATATATATATATATATAGATATAGATATATATATATATATATATATATATATATATATATATATATATATATATATAGTACAGTAGGCTCTTCCTTTCAGTGATGGCAGAGGCCTCCTGTCGTGTCGTGGCCTTCTTCACCCAGGAGCATGCATTCGTGGGGCCTTCTCCCATCCGCCACAGAACCGCTCCTTGGTAATCACTGGAACCCCCTGTTCATCGGTAGGGAGATCTGTACACTGTAGACTGTTGCGCAGCGGCTTAAAACCACCCAACCTGCTTGCCTGGTTATCTCAGTCGCCGCGGACATAGTGTTAGGCCCCCCTCCCGGACATGACGTCGGCCATCTGTCGTAGTTTGGCTGTCAGCCGTTTTACAACATTGCAATGTTGAGGCGTCTTCCCATTAATAAAGGGGGTCCCGTGGCGCGGTCAATCCCGACCCCAGTATCCGATCTGGGGCCTCCCTCGACCATGACAGTACGTTGTTGGTCTTGGCCGGTTCTTCCAACTGTATCATGGATGCTCTAAAATATATCGTGGCTTTCGAGATGCATGGCTGGTTGATTCAGGCTAAGCAGAGCGATGTTTTCGCCCACCCCGTCCGACTACGAGGGGGGGGGGGGGGGTGCTGGGAGCCGCCCTGCTCTGAGCGCGGCACCGTACACGAGTTTGCGGCGGGTTTCCGACGAACGCAATAGCTTCTGAGTGACAGCTTCTGTGTCCGCGTGCTTTCGTCCGACCGAAGAGGGCTGTCTAACCTCACTAGATTTAATCCAGCGTGACCACACAACAGGAGCATGACCTTGTGTGAAACATCCAGCT